GTCACATGCTGCCCGGGCCTTAGTTTACCTGCCAGTGTGCTGGGTGAGCTCCTGGGAAATGAGAGTGCCTGAGACTCATGCCCCCTATGCTATGGGGCCTGCGCCTGTCCTTCTGTGGGACTGGGACAAGGCAGGTCCAGGTAAAATAACGCTGGAGAAGTGGCCCCAGTGAATGGGCAGGGATGGGGTGCTATTGTAGGCAGTGGAGATATACCATGAAGAAAAGAGACCTAAGTCTCAGCCCCGAAGGGCTGTGTGTAGGGTCAGGGTAGGGTTTGACTTAGCAGCTTCCTCTGTAGGTCTCTTTGCTGCTGTGAATGAAAGGCTCTTGGTTGGGGGAGCGACAGGAAGCTTGGAATTTATGCACCTCCTTGGCTTGCCCTTGCTTTGAAATAGGTTCCAACCAGGCCTGGACCACACCGGGGGCTGATGACCTCCCTTGGTTGGCGCTTGAGTTGGCTGTGTCCTCGGGCCCCTGAGTCACTCTGCCTCGCCCCAGATTCTTCAGCCTTGGGCTCTATGGCAGCTCGGTCATCTCAGCTGAGACAACCGTCTGGTTTTAGAAGGGAATTCTCTCGAATGCCACTTACTAAGCTCCCTGGCACCCAGCTTTGGCTAGGCCACCAAGGCTTTATGCTTCCTGAATGGGGGTGCGGATGGGGGTGGTTCCCTGCCCTTTGACTGCCTCCGCCTGGCCATGACCCTGCTCTGACTTCAGAGCTGATTTCCTGTCTTCATGTCCTCCTACCCACCCTGGGCAGGCAGGGTTCTCTAACTCCACAGTGAACCCGTGTCTTCAGTCACCACCTCTCTCTTGCCGGCGGCCATCTGCTCGATCTGAGCCTGCTTCTACCCCAGCTTGAAGCCTCCCGGAGAATATGTGCCATTTCCCTGTCCTTTCCCGTGTCAGCGGGGAGAACAGGAGCTCTCCTTAGTGCGAGTGTTCTTAAGGAGTTAACTGGTACCTGGTGGGGAGGGGTCTTAAGACAGTTTTCCAGCCTCCTTGGTGTCAGGGGCTAAATAGTTCCTTGTGGTGGCCTGTTCTGAGCACTGGAGGTTGACCAGCAGTGTCCCTTGGCCCCTGTGTTCTACATGCCAAGAGCATTTCCTCTGTCCTCTCCCACCGAAGTGTCTCCAGACATGTCTGATGTCCCCAGCGAGCAGGACCTCTCCTACCTGAGATTCACTGTCTAGTGAGAGAAGGCAGCATCCCAAAGCTTGGCTAGGCCTGGGCTAGAAATGAGCAGAGCAGTGTCCACTCTGAACCACACAGTTAAGGGGAATCTTGCCCCAGAGAGCTACAGAATCTTCAGGACACACCGGCCCGTGTGAGGAAAGATCCAGGCAGCTTTCTATAGGGCGGACTAGACAGAAGGGTCTAGTATGGATGGGGCTGAGACAGGATGTCTTAGTGCTCGCTAACTTGGCAGTCAGGTCTCCTAGGGAGCAGAAACAGGAGCAGCCCTTGAATCCAGGGAATGGGGCCTTGTCCAGTGTCTCTCAGGTGTCTCCCAGTGCCGTTAGCTGTAAGATGCTCTGAACTGCTGGGGTTTCCCTGGGAAATGCTCCTGGACACTACAAATACTCCTGGTCACCATAGGAACGCCCCAAGAATAGAAGTGATCCTAGCAGTCCTGCTTCCGATGAGTAGGATGGACAGGGCTCCCTTGGGACATAGGGACAAGGAGGCCTGCAGCAGCGGGGTGGGGGTGGAGGGCATCTTGCAGCCCCTGGCATCCATCTGAAACAAATACCCTGCTCTGGAGGGTTTTCTGTTACTAATTCCAGGGACCTATTTCTAGAGCCATAAATCTTTGGTTCAAAATCATGAATTTTCCAGGGTATGATTAATGAAAGAAAAATTGAGACGGCAGCACAGAAAACTGACCCTGATTGAAGAAAGTCAGGGTGACAGGCTGGATGCAAGTTTAGGGCATTGCAGGCCAACCCAACAAACTTCTGAACCAGACAGGAGCACCACCTAGTGGTCTCACTGGGCATCGGCATGCACTCATCTGCTTTGAGGGTGGCTGTGGCCCGTGAACACCAGAATCCTAGGATCCTTGGCCTGGGTCTCACTTGAGGTCGCTCTGGTGCAAAAGCCATTATGTGACCTAGCTCTGGTCACCTACAGATCCTTGAATCATCCATGACTTAGTAATAGCATGTGTGTGCACATGTGTGCATGCATGTGTGTGTGTATAGTCTGGGCCTCCTTTCTGTTTTCCCATTTATCGGAATTCTCTTCAGTCCTTAGGCCCAGCTCACTTTCAACACTGCCTGTCTCCCATTGGCCTGCGTCTCATTGCTCCTTCATCGTCACCTGGCGATGGCCACCAGCGCTCCCCAAGTCATTGTAGTAGTCCCTGCTTGTGCTTGCTGGCTCTTGCCCTCAGTGGCCTCTTCTGGGAACAGCAGCTGTCATGGTTGTTCAGAAACATCTGTTGGATCATGTCACACTCAGCCCTGGGGCAGGTCAACCACATTTTCCTACCTTCCAGGTCCTGTTCTATCTGTCCCCTGGCTGCATTGCCTCTTTATGTTCTGCCCCATGTCACTGCAGTCATTCTGTGACAGCCACATAGCAGCTTCCCCCTCCTGGGAAGACAGGCTTGGTCCTAACTTGAGGCCTTTTTAACTTGATGTAGCCTTTTTCTGAACATTTTTACATCTTTATTTATATGGCACACTCTGCCTTTTTATTTTATGTGCTTGCATTGGTCGTGTGTGTGTGTGTGTGTGTGTGTGTGTGTGTGTGTGTGTGTGTACATGCACACCCATGAGAATCTCCCTTCCATCTAGGCAGGCATTGGGCAGGACTGTTCACAGCTTTCTCCTTGGCCTAGTGTTTGATAACCATGTGCCTGGTTAGAGTCTGTGGGCTGTATAAACAAAGGAAATGCAACTCCTAGAAGCCGATGCCCTTTCCCCTCACCTTGAGAGCCCAAGCGTGGATTGCCTTGTCTGTGTGTGTCCTTTCCTCACTTCAGAGAGCCAGACCATCAGCATCGTCCCAGCACGCAGTAGCTGTTGCTGAAATGCCTTTCAACAAACAATGCTCTGTGTTTATTAGTTTTATTAGTCAGGGTTCTCTAGAGAAACAGAATTTATAGAACACACACACACACACACACACACACACACACACACACACGGGATTTATTAGAGTGGTTTATAGGCCATGATCCAACTATTCCAACAATGACTCTCTCTCCCATGCAAAGTCCAAGAATCCGGTAGTTGTTCAGTCCATGAGGCTGGGTGTCTTTAGTGTGCACCAGAATCCGGAAGAAGCAGGCTTGAGTATCAGTAAAGGAGTGGACTGGCCAGCAGTATGGAGGGCAAGCAGGCGAGGCCAGGTGCTTCGGTCTTCCCTTCATATAGGTGAATAGGCTGCCAGCAGAAGGTGTGGCCCCGATTTTAAGGCGGATCTTCCGACCTCAACAGATCTGGATTGAGAGTGAGTCTTCACGCTTCAAATAATTCAGTCAAGAGGACCCCCACAGGGGTACCAGCCTCTTGAGTTTTACTTCTTGGCATAGTCAAGTTGACAGCTGGGAATAGCCACCGCATGAGGCCATGGGAAGGCATGTGGTACACTCCTGCGGTTTGGAAGGTCAGGTCACAGGCCGGGGCATGCAGAGTCTGTGTGGGAAGTTTACACCTGTGACTCTCCAGCCCTTACTGCGTACGCTTTCAGTATGCACGGAGAATTCCTGTCTTCACCTGCTGCTTCTTCCAACGGGTATCTCTGACCAGGACAGTGATTGTCTCCTCCAAAGGCCTGTAGTTATTAGTTGGCACCACTGTATACCGGTAGATGCTGCATTGTTATTGTTCCCATTCAGCCAGAGTGGAGGCCCCTGGAAGGCAGGTCTCTAACGCGGCTGAAGCTTTTCTGGTTCAGGACTCTGTGCTCTAGGGTACTCGATACATACTGGCTGACTGATGGATTGGCTCCTCAGACTCAGCACACTTCTCCGAAGCTCAGGGAGCAGAGGGTGTCAGGTAAACAGAGCATAAAGCAGTGTGGGTGTGGAGATTTGCAGCAATGAAAAGGGATGTGTTCCCATGCGGAGATACTGGTTTTAGCCATAGCTCCAGGGGTTCTTGTGAAGAGGGTCAGTTTACGAGTCCATCATGCACACGGTCAGCTTAGGTCAGTGGATGGTGAGGCGTGTCGACCATGTTGCTTTGAAAAAAATGCCTGACAAAAGCCACTGCAGGGTTCTATTGTGGCTGGCCTGTTTGAGGGAACAACCTATCAAGGTGGAGGCGTGGCAGGGGGAGATTGGAGGCAGCGATCACATTGTGCCCTATAGTCAGGGAGGGCGCTGGTACTCCCTGTCTGCTTAGTAACTTCAGACAGGGATGGTGCAGGCCACATTCGGGCGGGGGGGGGGGGGGGACGGATGGGGGTCATCTTCCCTCCTCAGTTAAGGCTCTTTGGAAATAATCTCAGACACACTCAGGGTGTGTTTCCATGGTGGCTCCCACAAAGATGACAATGAAGATTCACCGACACTGGAAGACAGCATGGACTGTCGCTTAGCCATGAACTTGCTTTTCAGACTTCAGATAAGAGTGGCCCTTCTGTTCAGGGTAGTGGGAAATACCCACTGACGTTGGCTCTGAGAGCCAGTGCCCTGGCTTCTCTCCCATAGTCCAGTCATTCCCCTGCCCCCAGCCTCCTTTCTGACCATGGGGGGCTCCTCTGCCCAGTGGCATAACCTGGGTTGTACATTTGTGTATTTTTCTGTTTTTCCTTTGTCTCTTTTACTTGATCTTCAGAGAGACTTGTGAGGTTTATGTAAATGGAGGTCCTCCATTTACAGGAGGAGAAACTGAGGCATGCAGTGGCAAAGTGGCTGTGTCATAGGCTTTGGATCTGCGATAGTACCCACTTTTTGTATCTCAGTGTCAGAGGTGGGGTTTTTTGGGGCGTTCTGCGAGATGAATGTGAGAGCCATGCTGGTCTAACTGGTTTCTTCTCTCTCCAGCTCTGTGGCTGTGGACTGCTTGGAGTGGGCATCTGGCTGTCCGTGTCCCAAGGCAACTTTGCCACCTTCTCCCCCAGTTTCCCCTCACTGTCTGCAGCCAACCTTGTCATCGCCATAGGCACCATTGTCATGGTGACAGGCTTCCTGGGCTGCCTTGGGGCCATCAAGGAAAACAAGTGTTTGCTCCTCAGTGTAAGTCAGACCCCCATGTCCCTTCATGGCTTCCTGGGGCTCCCTAAAATGCTCTGCCGCTCGCTGTCCCTCTCCCTCTGCCTTGTGGTGTATCTGGGTTTGCTTAGGAGTAGGTGAGCCCTCCCAGAGCCGGGGTCCCCGCCCATCCCTTGCCCGGCCTCGGGCCATTGTGCTGCCCTGAAGCCATGTTTGGACTTGTCTTACAGTTCTTCATTGTGCTGTTGGCCATCCTCCTGGCAGAGCTGATCCTGCTCATCCTCTTCTTTGTCTACATGGACAAGGTAACTGTCCCTGCAGAGGGAGCAGTGTGAAAGGGCACTGCGCTGGGGAAGGAGCAGGCCGGGCGGGCGGGCGTAGACACTGGCTAGCAGAACCTGCCCAGGGCTCTGCCCGAGCCCTGAGGGTGTGGCTCTAGTCCTCCCCATCTAGAAACACCCTGTCACCGGCTGGCCTGGTGTGGGCCAGGGAGGAAGGCCAGTGGCCTGGTCCCAGCCGATTTGTGGTGCTGCCCCGATCTGCTAGGTGAACGAGAATGCCAAGCAGGATCTGAAAGAGGGGCTGCTGCTGTACAACACGGAGAACAACGTGGGGCTCAAGAACGCCTGGAATATCATCCAGGCTGAGGTACAGCTCGGGTCTCTGCATGGCATGGCATGGGGCAAGCCTTAGGGTCCCGGGGCTAGTCCTGGGGAGGGCTGAAGAGGTGAGTTCAGGAGGCGACACGACTCAGATGCAGGAGTGGACAGGCCTCAGGAACTGTAGGGAGTGGTTACACTCTGTGACGAATGACAGGAACCACCAGGTCCTGTTTGCTCAGGAGAGGGGCAGGCTCTGACACTGAGAGGAATACAAGACTCTCCTCTCCCATGAGTACCCCACACAGACCTTAGGAGGGAATGGCGGGTGGGTGGACTGGTAGTCAGCTAGGGAGGGTCCACACCACAGAGGGAGGAGCTTAAGGTGCTGGTGAGTAAGTATTGGGCTGGGCTCTCCTGCCCATCATGCCCAGCCCCAAGGGGTAGTGGCGTTGCCCCTGTCCCCGCCCTGATGGTCTAGGAAAGAGGAGTCACTTACTACCCCTGGGGGCCTTGCTGCAGCTCAAAGAAGGGACAAGAAGAAGTTCTTTTTCCTCATGCGTGCTCTTGGGTGGCTGCTTTGGTGGGGTTGGCCTGAAAGAGGAAATGCTCCGAGGGTGGGGCCAGCAGTAGCATCTCCGGCCTCCCTTCCTTCCCACAGATGCAGTGTTGTGGGGTCACTGATTACACAGACTGGTACCCAGTGCTGGGGGAGAACACAGTTCCTGACCGCTGCTGCATGGAGAACTCCCAGGGATGTGGGCGCAACACCACCACCCCCTTGTGGAGTATGGTGAGGCTGAAGAGCAGTGCCTCGGGCTGGACTCACTGATCCCAGAAGCCTGTGTACTGGATGTGCCTGGCTGCAGGAGTGATGGGATGGGGAGAGGGGTACACTGGAGTGAGGCCATGGCTGTGTGCGTGTGTACATGCACACATGTGCATGTGTGCTGGCCCCACAGGTGGGAGTCAGAAGGGTTGGGTGGATTGAAGCTACACAGTTGCAGGCTGATATTAGGGGTGTGTGTGGGGGGACCCGAGGCCTAAGGGGTAGTCAGGCACTGGAATTAAGAGTACAAACAGGGGTAGGACAAAAAGATAGGGCCAGGCCACTGGGGACTCAGCACTGTGGCGGGACCTTAACCCGTGGTTCACTTCCCAGGGCTGCTATGAGATGGTCAAGCAGTGGTTCGACAAGAACAAGCACGTGCTGGGCACAGTAGGAATGTGCATCCTCATCATGCAGGTGAGGAGACTCCAGGCACACGGGCCTCTGGGCGGGACGAGAACCTGGGCAGCGAGCAGAAACCTGGTGTTTACACAGCCTAGTATGTGAGGTGTGCAGAGTGTCCAAGCTCAGCAGCGAAGCCACCACCATGCTGCGGAGCTCTGAGTGAGGTCACAGGCAGGGAGCAATGTGGTACTGAGTGCTGAGTGGGGGCCCTGGACTAGCGGGAGGAAGCCAGTGTCATCCGACATGCTCTCCATGAGAGCCCAAGGTGTGCCGTGTCCCGGGCTCACCAGCTTTATAAACATGACATGTGGCACCTTGCGTGAAGCCACCAGTGCCTCTGCCTGCAGCTCTGTGTCCCCACCTGCTTTCAGGATTCTGGTTGAAGAGTATAATGAGATTTATGGTTATTCAACATATTTATGTCCCAAGAAATCGCTTCATGTGTTCTAGAACCCAACAGAAAGTGTTGGCTTAGTTTTAATGACTCCTACCGGCCCCCCCAACCCTCCTCTCCCCCCCCCATCCTACTTCATTCTCCCACCTCAGCTCCTCTCACCACGATGCACTCTGTCTTCTCCCCAGGTCTCTGACATGTTAGCATATGCATAGCCCAGGGATCTATGGCCTTCTGCACATATGACTCAAAGGGCCTAAAGTACGCCAACCTTTGTGCAGCTCCAGGCTGGGTCTCCAGGGTGGCGTCCTGCACTATGCTTTCTCTGTTTCCTGGCTTGTTTCCCAGCACACTGGGGTAGCAGACTTTTACATTAGGTCTCTCAAGCAGCCTCAAGCTTGTGAAACTGAGGTCAGACCCCAGGCCACGAGAATGTCCCTTTAAAGTCCTCTTCCTGTCTTTCAGATCCTGGGAATGGCCTTTTCCATGACTCTGTTCCAGCACATCCACCGGACTGGTAAAAAGTATGATGCCTGAGCGTTTGGCAGCGCCTGGCCCCACCGGGACACTGTATGTGCCCTGGAGAGGACCTGAGTCTGTGTCTCCTGTCTGCCCTTCGGCGGCCACCCTGCCCCGTCTGCCAGCCTGCCCTCCCCTGCCTACGTCCTTGGCCTTGGACCTTTTGGAGGGTAGAAGCCCAGGGAGGAGGCATCATCACGCAGAGAACTCAGGGCTCGGGCTCCTGGATTCCTGCACCTGCATATTTGCCAAAGACGCCAGAGTGGGCAGGGTGTCAAGGAGGAAGCCCCGGCACTGTGGGCTTCTGACCCTGCCCTTCCTCACACTGACACTTGTCCCTGTGTGGGGTGGAGAGTCTGCCCCACCAAGGCCACTGCCGTCCATGGCTGCCCAGCCAGAGAGCCGAGCAGGGTGCAATGAGGCACCGCCAGGTCAGGCCCCCTGGAGGCTCTGCCCGGGTTTTATACTAATAGTGTAACTTTTTTATTTTACTCGGATTATCGTTATTCAGGAATATTCTCTCTCAGATAAGTTTAGGGTTAGCCTTCTGATTTATAACTTTTTACTGTGTTGATTTTCCATTACGGTTTGAGTTTCCTTTTCCTGTGGGTGGGGAGGGGTAGGGAGAAAGGACCCCCCCCATCCACTTTCAGTGAGGACACACCACTGTGGGACACCCATGAGGCCCTAGGGTGACAAGTGCCAGGCTTTCCCCCCAGAACTCACCTCCAGGGAGAGGGTACAGCCATGATACGGGGCCCTGCCAGGCCTGGCGGCCAGGGATAGGGCCAGGAGAGGCAGGTGTGATACAAGTATGGCAGAGCATCCTACTCAGGGGTGAGTGGGGTGGTGCCCGAGCTGGGGAGGCCACATCGGTAGGGGATGCTTAGGACAAGGGGTAGGGAAGTGCTTTGCTGGGGGGGGGGGCGGCAGTCGGAACAGTTTGTGGCATTTCCTTCCTCCCCCTCGGTCCTCTGCAGGCTCCCCTCCTGACCCACATGCATCCTGCATCCCAGATGGTCACTATCACACATTCCTGCTACGGATTCTTCTGGTTCAGACACTGCTCTACTCACCCTGCTCTGGGCAGTGTTCAGCTGCCCAGACAAACAGCCTCAGGACTACCGGGAGGGGAGGCGGGGCTGGCATCTATGGCCAACCCCACCAGACTCACTCAGTTGCTGATTGCCCTGCTGTGGGGAAGGGAAAGGGCCACGTGGGTCTCAGGACCCTCCCTCCTTAGGATCCATCGCTGTCCACATTGGGTGGCAGGCATCACATCCCATGTAACCTCCAAGAGACGAGATAAAGAAAATCTGAGAAGTCAGGCTCGCATTGCCTCAGCAGCACTGGGGAGAAAGAAGGTCCTCATTCTGGATGCCTGGTGCTGGGTGGAGGAGAAGGAGGCCGGACGTATTCCCAGCTGTAGTAGCAGCTCTCCAGCTCTGATGCCTAGCGTGCCCTTCTGTATGCAGGGTAAAGGCAAGGATGGAAGTGGCCCATCCGGGGTCCAGAGTGCCAGTCTCCAGGCTTCATGTGGTAGTTGTTTTTCTCAAGCCATTTCACTCCTTACCACTATTTCCCACCGGGCCACACCACCCAGCCAACCCATCACCCCTCCGCTGCCTTGAGTAAGATGTGGAACTTGCAGTGTGTTCAAGATTCAAGTTTTGGGGGTGAGAGTGGATCGTAGGGAGCTCTGAGCAAATTGGACAGAGAGGTTGCCATTTCTAGGAGATGGAATTGTGTTGTTAGGGGAATGATAGCCACCTCCTTGGGGGCCCCAAGATACAGAGTTTAAGTAGACCCATGAAACAATCAGAGAAACAGCAACAACTAAAAGTGGCCCCGGCTACACAATGAGATTGTGTGGGTGGTGTGGGTGGCTTTGTCTATACCTGTCAAGGGGGTTTTTAACTTCATTCATATCAACAGTCCATCTCCCAGTACACGGGAAGCATTAGCCTCCCTACCTGCCACCTCATGCCTCTAGAGTGCTTCGGGGTGGAGCTCCCCCCTCCCCCTGCAGCCATACGGAAGTCCCCCACCCTCACCAGCCCACCTCAATTGTCTGTTCAACAGGGCCAGATTACAAGTCCCAAATGCCTTCTTGCTTTAGCTGTGTGCGGCTGTGTAGTCATCTGCAGGGTCTGCCTGGGACAGAGGTCTCCATGCACAGGGTGGGTGTCCTGAACCCCTTGCTTGGCTCCGGGAATGGCCCACATACACTAGATGGCCACACCAAGTGAGACCAGGGGAGGTGGCTCAGCAGTCCCCTGGCCCTCTTGGCCTTGAGCTCACTGCGGACAATCCTCCCTCACCTGCGCTTCCCTTGCCTAAGGCAGAGCTGTTTCCTCCAGGTCCCACACAAAAGCCATTTGCAGACCTGACTGGGCAAGTCCTCTTGGTTTGCATGTGGCTTCAAGGAAATGGCTGACATAGCTGTGGCATTTCTCCACAGCTGACTGGAAGAGGGACTCTGTGGGCAGGGTCTGCGGGCCGCTCTCGGGTGACTGACAGGTGTCAGGGTACAAGTGTCCTTGAGTCTCTACACCCTCTAGGCTGGAACAGTGTCACCCTGTCTCTCCGCCAGCCCGGGCCAGCACCTCAACTCTCCCCTTGCACATGTTCTGGCCTGACTTAGATTTGAGTGGCTACGCCTCCAGGCTCTTCAAGTGGATGTAATTGTTGTCCCCTTCTCTCTGACGCCCCCTGCCCACCCACTGGTGGAGGTGCTAACGAGCAGGGACACGGCACAGGGCGGGGGAGCTGGGTACCCGGTGCTTGGGTTCTGTTCTTTGCTCCTCAGCCCCTTGGTCCGGTGTCCCCTCTCAAGTTCCTGCCCTCTCATTTCCCTTCCCTCCTCCGTGATGGTGGGGTCCTGGCCGCCTCTCGTGGGCATTGTGAGGAGCCAGGCCTTTCCCTGGGTGGCCTGAGAGCCAGGAGTGCACGCTTATTGGTTTCGAATGCACTTTCTGCTTGCAATGCCTTGTCTGCGTTTCCTCCATCCCAGGCCCCGCTTTAATGAACACCATGTTTTTAGCATGTTTTTAAATAAAAACCGATAATGTGTCAAAAGCACAAACAGACTGTCACTCGGTGGTGTGTTTTCTTCCCTGAGCCATGACCAGGACCTGTTTCACGTAGCTGGTGATGGAGGGACCCAGACAAGACCAGGCACTCCCGTTAGAGGACCTCATCTCTTTCTTGTGACCTGGGTTTCAGATTTGCCAGAGCGGATGGATCCCTCTGTGGAGGCCTGGAGGATCCTAACACATACACCTCTCTGGTGACTGATGCAGGACTAATCAGGGGTTACCAGTGACCCAAATCTTCTGCACGAGAGGCTGTCATTCCACCTCAGTGACAGGTCACCCACATGGCTGATCCTGTGATCAGATGGGGTGGAGTGAGAAACAGGTCCCTACTTCCTGTAGGAGAAGGCTATCAGAATAGGTACACCCTTGTCCCAATCCCTCTGTTGTTCCTGAAGGTTCCTTTGAGTCTGGTGTCTTTTCCAGGAGTGTGGAGGACCTCAGGATGTCATTAGGCTCAGGCAACATCCTTCCAGGTAGCTCTGGGCAGCCCCCAAGAGAGCTGGGAACAAGGGTCTGTGAGGATAGCCTTGGGAGAAGCGGAAGCGTAACTTGATTGGCCAGCATGCCAGCCAATCGTGTGAGTCTCAAAATGCTTTCCTGGTGTGGGAGTCTCCTGCTGTCTCAGTTAGTTCTGGCTTCCAGGCTTCTTAGACTGATAGTGAGAAAATGCAGATGTGGGCAGCTCAGAGTTCTCTTTGCTCAGGGCTACTGAGTGCCATTATCTTCAGTGAGGTTGCAGAGATGGGATGAGCAAATGCAGGGGTCCAGAGGCTGAGATGGAGGGGGGGGCAGCTCCAAACTCCCCCAGATGTGTAACAGTGCCTCCCTCCCTCAAGGGAGTGGTCAGATTGACACCAGATTGTCCCAAAGCATCAACCTGCAATGGCTTTCTTCCAACATGTCCAGGGCATTATCTCAAGTTTTGACAAAGTCCAAAGGTCCAGCTAGAATGGCTTCCTGTGAATCTCCCCCAGACTTATCCAGAGCAAGGAGTCAGGTAACCTCGCAACTATTGAGAGTCAGCCGGGTCATAGGAATTGGCAAGGAAGCCACTTCTCATCTGTCTATTTGCTCCCACGCCTGCCCCCAGGGTGTGGCCACATTTGCCGGTATCTGCCAGGTCAATTCATAGGCAGTGTGCATGTTAACCCCTTTGTTAGTACTTTGGGCAAATGAGCCAAGCTGGAATAGTCAGGGACCTTCTGGAGTCTTCTAATGACAAGCCTGAAGGCTAGAGGATGGGTTCTAGCTCTTCTGTCCATGGGAGGGTGTAGCTTAGATCACTCTGAGGACCCCCATCAGCCTATTATGTGGGAGATGAGCCTCCCATCTGTACCCAGTGAAGGCAAAAAAGGCCACCTCAGGAGCAATAGCTAAACAGGCCTAGTACACACCGACAATGCTACCAGACCTCAGAAGCCAGATCAGGGGTGGCATAGACAAGATGCCAAGCCACTCACAGATAGGAATTCAAACTTAACCTCCAGACCCTACTACAAAGGGTGTATGTCACAGAGCTGACCTTTGCTCACAGAGCCAGCCATCTAATGGGGCCACAGGAGAGGCCTCACAATTGCACTTCAACACTAGTAATGGCATTCTCAGGGTCCGGGATGGCTTTGGGGATCAAGCAATGACTTTTAACCTGCCCAGTGAGAGCCCTCCTATGGGAGATACTGCTGAGGCTAATACAGGGATGGTTAACTAGTTTATAGTAATAGTCAATAGTAATTAGGAATTGTTAATAAGGGAATGTCTGAGTACAGAGGGTAGAAGGGGGGTGTCTGGAGGGACAGGCCCCTCTCCTCTGTACAACTTTATGAACCAGATCAAGAGCCCAAACTTCCATGCAAGAAAAATAGGAAGCACTTCTGAGGTTTTAAGCCCAAACAGAGGTGTTTAGCCTCAGCCTCCAATGAGATGTCAGGCTGCAGATGGAGCATAGTCAGAGTGGACAGAGTGGCTGCAGGGCTTAGTTGGGAGATGAGCGCCGGGGCCTAATTAGGTCTGCTGGGGAGAATCATTGTCATTAGTCCCTCATCGCACCCAACCAGGACAGATGGGCACTAATTCTTTACAATGGACAGATGTGCGCATTAGTTCCCTGGAAGAGGCACCTCAGGGAAGGAAGGGTTCATTTGGGCTCAGAGTTTGGGGGTGCAGTGCATCGTGGCAGGCCAGGCATGCTGGCAAATGTGAGGGAGTGGGCCACATTGTGTTTGTAGCCAGGAAGCAGAGAGAGTGAATGTTGGTGCTCAGCGTTCCCTTTTTAATTTGGTCCAGGATCCCAACCCAGGTGCCATCACAGTTACATCCTCACAGACATGTCCAGAGGTATGTTTCCATGGCGATTCTGAATCCAGCCAAGTTGACAGTGAAGATGAAACCTCATGAGAGATTGCATTATCTAGCCCTGCGTGCAAGAGTTGGTAGAAGTTCTTATGTTGTCAATGTAGTTGGATCTCTCTGTGTGTTTGTA